TGGTCAACAATTTAATTCCAAATTCATAATCAAAAGCCAAGTTTGCCACAAAGTCGACTCAATGCAACCAATGCCAAGCGAGCCCTATAACTGTATACCCACACACCTTGAGTAAATTAATCATTTTGTATTTAACATTTTCCTGATCAGCTAGTATTTTTATATGAATATGTATTATATAATTAATTTTGGTAAATATTCCATACGACTTTGAGTTATATCATTATAAAGAGTTTTATTTTCATTGATCAATAAACGTAAATATATATAGATTTTGAAATTGTTTATGTTTATGCTTGAAGACTGTGTCGATTCATAATAATGTTGCACACACATGTGTATTTGTATATATGTGTGTGTGTGTTGCCATAAAACTACTTACAGAGTTGTAAAGCGACATTCGCATGAGAACAATAAATATCAAGATATATAAATATATATGTATATATGTATATACGAATATCAATTAACGTTCACATGTATATATAATATATATATATATCTTATATATAGTAACTGTATAAGTGCTGCCCAGGGCAGCGCTTCTTAAGCTTTCACACAAATACAAGCGTTCAGGGTGTCCTTGGCAAGGATCGTCTCACAATTGCCCATCAGATAAACATACCGAAAATACTTACTACAAACATCAATAAATATATGTATATATATATGTATATGCAAGCAAGCAGGTGTGCGTGTTTATGTGGGTGTATCACCTATGTGTGTGTGTGGTATAGCACTAACAAGAATAATAATTGAAACGGAGACTACATCGAAATTGCGAATAATTATTGAATAATTATTTCTGTGCCAAAACTCTAGTCGAAATATGTTTGAAAAAGTTTCTGTTTTAATCTCGTATTTTAAGTAATTGTTTATATAGCATTTGCTTTGTGATCTGTGTAATAAATAGACTTAACGAACTATCAACTAAATACAATAGTTTCATATAACGTTTATCGCTTAGAATTCTACGCCTATTTACAATGATAATTTAAGAATATATTTCTACAATGCTCCGACAGAGCAGAGGAAAATCTATAATAATATGGATAATTGATATATAATATATAATAAGCTGAATAATTATGTTTATGTACAATAGTAAATACTTAGAAAGTTTTTCGATTAAATAATACATACATACATGTATGTGTGTGTGTGTAAGGAAACTTAGAGAACAACAATGGGTTAACGCGTACGACGATATAAGGGTTTCTGTAAGAGATACATCTATAACAAATTGGTACAAGTTCCAAATGATTTGTAAGTGACTGAGTCTTCAGTATGTTCATGTGTTTGGGGTATATAGATCTAGATATATATATATATATTCTTGTACGCATGACAAACAAAAGATTTTTTAAATTCAGTTAGTTAGAAGCGAGATCTATACACTTGGCTTAACGCCTTCAAATATTTCTGGGATTATACGATTACACACAACTCTACACAGAATTATCGAAAATCATGAAATATCATAGGACTCGCAACTGTGTGGGTGTTTATCTAGTATATGTTGTATATAGATAGATATAAAATCTTGTGTGCTCGCCGAGTCCTCCTTCTTCTTCTACTTCCTCTTCCTCATTCTTTTCTACAGCCACGAAGTGCAATTCAATTATCTCAAACCAAAGTCTCTGCCTTTACAAATATTTGTCTGTCTCTTCGCTCTCTCTCCTCCAGTACGAATCCGTTCAACATCTACATCATCTTCTAGTCGCCAAGTATCATCATGCTCTTAATGCTGGCCACCTCGGACTCAAGTCGCTCCAGCTGGCTCTTCAGCATCTGATCACGCTCCACATTGGAGACGACCACCGAGACGACAGCCTCCTTCGGGGCGAGCAGCTTGCGCTGGAACTGGGCTGTCCACTCGGCACTGCCGATCGAGATGCCCGAGTCGCGCTCGTCGCTGGAGTTGTCACCGCCATCGTTCCAAGCCGGCGGCGAGGAGCGATTGCAGCTGGGCTCCTGCTTGATGTGCTGCAGCGAGAGCAACGCCGTCGCAGCCGCATCCTTGTCGCCCAGATGCGATTTGTGGCGCAGCTTCAGGGGCAGACAATTGTTGGCCTCATTAGTGCCGCCGCCGCCATTGTGCGCTGGGCTGCTGCGCTGCATGGGCGACGAGTGGGCGCCATGGGCAAGCGCATGCGGATCCGGATGGATGGGGCCTTCGGAGCCATCTTGCTCCTGCTCGTCGTCGCCAGAGACGGCACCCGACGAGGAGGCGGACGATGAGAGGGCTGAGGAGGCGGATGAGTGATGAGACGTCAAGGATGTGGTCGAGGACAGCATGTGCTCGTAGCTGGGCGAGCAGGCGCGCCTCGACAGGTTCAGCACACTGGCCGCGGCCGAGCTGACCACCGAGGAGCAGGAGCTGCTCACGGCGTCGACCGCACTGCTGCTAACGGCGCCCTCCACGCTGTGACCGTGCAGGTAACTGGCCTCCAGCTGATCCTTGCTGATGGCCACATAGCCAGATGCTGGCGAGGATGCGTTCACTGTGGCAGGCGTATATATTGTGGTGCCTGCCGGCGTTCCCGTGCCCACCGCGGCCGCATTGTAGAGAGCCCCGACGGCCACCACCTTGCGCAGGCTGTCCAGATCCTCGGGCCTGACGTTGCGGTGGAGCGCCTGCTGAAGCACATGCAGATTGGCAATGGCGTTGGTCGGCGGGCGGTTGTGCGTGTCCATTGTGGAGGGGGCAGCGTCCTGCACCTGCTGGTGATGCGACTGCTGCAGCTGCTGTTGCTGCTGCTGCTGCTGCAGCTGGTGGTACTGATGTGGATGCGGAAGAGCCTGAGCGTGGAGTGGCGCCGGCGGCGGCGGAACGTGCTGGCCCACGTGATGTCCATTCTTATTGCTTACGGATGTCAAGGACTCGCTGCCGCGTACATTGCCCGCATTGACATTGCTGTTCGGGCCATAGATGATGGGGGAGAGCGGCGGGGCGTTGTTGCTGCTGCTGCTATAGCCGCTGTGTGTGTGCGAGGCCGGGGAGCTGCAGCCGGCGCCGGAGGGCGACGAGCCCGACGAGGAGGAGGAACACGAGTTGCCGCTGCTAATCTTGGCGCGCTTTGTATTGCTCAGCACCTGCTCGCTGGTGGGCAGCGAGGCGAGAATCTTCTCCACGCTCACCAGATTCTCGCCGGAGATGTTGAATTTGTCCCGAATCGCATCGAGCTGCGCCTTCAGCACATGGTTCTCCTTGGTCAACTCGATGACGCGCTGCTCCAGAACCATGTCATTGTATCGTCGCTTCTCGCGGCTGCGCTTGGCCGCCTCATTGTTGCGTCGTCTGCGGTCCCAGTAGCTCTCGTCCTTCTTGTTGTCGGGCGTGAACTCACGCTGCTTGCGCTGTGAGAAGAGCTCCTTCTGGGCGGCGGTTAGGGTTGACTGCGAGCCACCTCCAACTCCGGCGACGCCGTTGCTCTGTCCATTGGATTTGCCCCCCATCAGGCTGTGGCCGTGACTGTCGGCGTAACCGTTGCTCGGCACAAACTTGCCCATGCTGTGGCTGTCCGACATGCCGCTGTCGTTCGACTGCGGGCTGATGGAGCCGCCGTACATGGAGAGCGGATGCACTGCAGCCGAAAAGTGAAACGTTATAGTGATGAAGATATCAATTTAGTTTCAGGTTCAACTTACGATTTGTGGCCTCGTTGGAGCTGCCGTTCATCGATAGTGACGGCGAAATGGTAGCCAAACGCACGCTGCTCATCATGGAGGCGCTTACGGATGAGGCTTTGTTGTGGCTTTGGGTGGGTGTTCCGGCGAGCACCTCGGGCATTGCCGTCGGTGTCGTGGCTAACAGTACTTGAACAAGCTTTGAATCCGGCGCCTGCTCCTGCAACACTCGACTGCTAATCCCCTCTTCCGGTTGCTGTTGCTGATTGTGCTGGTGCTCCTGCTTCTGGTTCAGAACTGCAAAGAGAAAATCAAGAGCTGCGATTAGTAAAGAAAGGCCTTAAAAACAAAATTATTAGCTTTTATTTACTTTCAGTTATGCTATATAATGCTTATAAATTAAATAATTTTAAAATTATACTATCTCGAATACTTTATCTAGCTTCAATAATATAATTGGAAATAGGTTCAAATAATAATTAAAATAATTTAATTACATTATTTACTTTAAAACGTAAATAAGTAAATATTTACATTAAATACTAAATATTTTTTAGCTTATAATTCAATATTCTAAAACGTAATTATTTGTGTATACATTATATTAAAAATTTATTTTTAGATTATTCAGAATTACATTATATTTTACCAATAGTCAGTTTAAAACGTAATTAATTGAATCTATATTATATTACTGAATCATTATTAAACCAAAACTCGCTCATACTTAACACTCAGTTTTGACTGATATCTGGTAGCAAAGCTATATTTTTTATTGGCCATATCTTATCGAGAACTTGGCAATAATCGCATTCGCAATGAATGTGTCAAAACAAAAGACAGTGCAGCCAAACGCCACACAGTCTAATGCGATCTTGTCTGGCCAATCAGAATATACACCCAGACGCACACACTTACATGCGCGCACATGCACACACACATTTGTGGGCATGTCTGCTTGGTCTTTCTTTGTCTGGTCCTTGGCCTTGGCTTGCCCTTACAAAATAATTACGCACACAATTACGCTCCGAACGCAAAGAACCCACTCGAACCTAACGTATTGTATGTATATCTATATGTATATGTATGTATGTATGTCGCTCGTATGCACATTTGCTTTCGTTTTTAGTGCGGCCATCCATTTACACAATGATTACGGCAAATGATGCAAGAATCAGCGAATTAGACGACAGCACAAGGAAAGAACAAACAAACACACATACACACTTACATTCATACATACATATATAGACGCTCGCATGCACATCGAGACACACACAAACACACATGTAAATAACAATGGCAAAGGCAACGTAAACAAGAAATCACACGGCGAGATTGGTCGGTTTTCTATGTGTTTGTGTGTTTGTGTGCTGCTGCTGCTGCCGTTGTTGTTGTTGTTGTCACCTCACCCTCACCGTGACCATCAAATTGGCATTTGCAGTTCAATGCGCTACAACACACACAAACACAGACACTAAAATACTAACACAAACGCGCTCACATTTATTCTCGTTCCCATAAACTGGCTACTCACGTCAGCAGCCAGACGCTGCCAACGTCGCAGCCGCCGGCAACCCCTACGACTCCTACGCCGACAAATAAAAGCAACAGACGACGACGACCACGACGACGGCGGCGACGCTGCGCTGCTGCAGTCGCTGCCTGTGTCGAAATTCACAAAAACAACATGACTAAGCGCGCTGCTGCTGCGCTCTCACCTCCGTGCTCTCTATCTTCTCCTCTCTCTTTATCTCATTCTCTTTATTTTGCATGAGTTTTGTTTTGCGTTGTAAACTAACAAAATATAGTTTTGTTTTGAATGGGATTTAGTTTTTTTGTATTCTCGTTGCACTTACATTGTGCTGTTATATTTGTTGCTGATAGCGTAGCGTATTGCGTATAACAAATGTTGTTAGTACTGCTGTTGATGATGACGTTGTTGTTGTTTTTAAAGTTATTATTTTGTTCTATGCTGCCGTTGTACAGTTTATCCGCGTATATTTTATTCCTTGCACTGTTGTTGGCTTTAAGTATAAACAAACTTTTCGGTGTTGCAGTCTCTTGAAAAATGTTCACTTTTTGCTGTAGCGGTGTCACTATCGACATAATGTTTATGTGCCTAATCACAGTTAATTATCCAAGCAGCGCAAATGCTGTTCATGTTGCACTTTTCGCACAGATTTGCATTTCGATCAGTGCCGCAATAAATTCTGATGCAATTGTACTTGAAAAACTGACAAATTTTGTTTCCGAATTTCGAATTCAGAAAAGTTTTTATTTAATATGTGTACGTTTCACTCTTTCTTTAATAGCGATCAAACTGTTCTATTTTGTTTTAAACAATATTTTAGTTATTGCTGTTCTTTGTTTTGCTAACGGTTCTTGATAGCGGTTTCACTGACTTAGCTGTCTGGGACTTTTTATCAGTAGACCAGCCGATTGCACTTCATTCAAAATATGACGCGACTCGCGAGCGCATCCACAACCGCTTCGAACGAATGCTGAATCGCAATTGAATTTGTAAAAGCATTTCACTCGGCTGCCGCAGTCCAATACGTCGCTCGGTCACGTTGCCGCTGCACGCAGTTGCGACACGCGACTGCTGCCGAACATCGAACCGAGGACCGAACATGTTCGAAGCTCGACTCGGCCGTACAAAAGCATTGGTAAAAGTGAAATTTACCTGCTTCGATTCTGGTTGGACACATACAATCGCACATACTCACACATACACACATATGTACCTACAAATGCGCGCGCTGCCTGTTGCGCGCTCCAAGTTGCAACCGATCACATTTTCTGTACACTCCATAGTTGAGTAATCAGCGTCAATCTCAAATCGTTTAGAGCTGCACATTTGAAAACTAGAACGTGACTGTGCCGTGTGCCGTGTGCCGTCCACTGGGTGTCGCTAACGGTACGCAACGGGGACGGGGGTGGGGGCGAGCGAGCTACGATGACAGTGATAAAGACGGAAGGTGTTTTATTGGAATATTGCGTTGCAATACGTATGTACGTATGTACTTACATATGTATGCATGTACATACATATGTATATACAGACATGTCTATGCATGCATATTATTCTATATACATGTGTATGTATGTGAGTTTGTATCCGTGTGTGCCAAATGCTTTGTTGTGACGCAAGCGCCTTACACAGAACACCTAAAGAACAACAAGTCAATGTTGTTGAACTAACATATACCCTTTACAATTTGTGCATAGCTACACATACATATTAGTTAATATATGTATTTATGTAGTTTAGCGATTCAAAGCAAACACAATGTTGTTGAACAAGTAGATACCCTGTAAAATGTATTGATACTAATTTGGGTGGTAACACAAGAAACTCACATTGTTGCTGAATCAGCTGATACCCTATAAAATGCATAGTTACTAGTTAAAATTCTAATCAGAAATACTTCTATATCCGGAGATCTGTCTTTTAGCTGGCTAACACAATGCATATCTAGAACTAATTTGCCTCATTTCTCTATTAAACCAAAATCATAAATTCCAATTGGAACAGCCAATCTAATAAGCTTTTATGTCTAAAGGACAATTAAATGACAGCAAATCAACGAATTAATGAATACTCAACAATCAGTGATAAATATTGATTGCAAATAGAAATAAACACACAAACATTGCAAATTATATAATTATAAATTATATTTACATTTGTCGCTTGATAATCGCTGTTGTCTTATCAGACCCCGTCTAGAGGACTTTTATGCACAGTCAGCAACAAAGTTGCGAAAAAGGGGGGAAATCAGTAGAGTGACTAAGACAATTATATATGTATGTATATAAATATAGTAAAATATAAATATGTATGTATATATATTTATGTATGCCTTCAATCCAATAGGAAATTGCAGTGGCGAAGGTCATGGGCGCAAGCTGACCAATAGCAAAAACTTGGCAGATATGATGTAAGCTTTATAAGTGTGATTGACGGTTTGACTGACGAACTGAATAAATGACAGTTAGATTAGGCGACGCGCTATAGAGGCACTCAATGCATAATTGTAAATTCTAAGAATTTCTAGTATTCAATATATACGCAAACGAGATAATGAATTTGTAGTTGTGTGTGTGTGTTTGTGTGTGTGTGAATGCTCCCACTGATTTGATAGACATTAAAACAAATAGGGAAATAGCAAATACAAGGGTTATAGAAAAAA